TGACCTACTGAGACACAAGCTGGGGTGGCTAAGGGAGTGCTTGTGCCACCTCTCCTTCATCCTCCAGCAGTGGGTGGCAAGGAGAAATCGGTGTGCTTGGTAAAGGGAGAGCACAGCAACTGGGGGACTTTACATTGAACTCAGTGCTGGTCTGTCACAGCAGAGACCTGGTAGGATTCAGCACTTGCTGACCAAAGAGCCCCATGGTCCTGAATATCCAACAGCAATACCCAGGTTATATGCGGTGAGCCTTGGGCTCAGATGTGCTGGCTTCAGATGTGGTGGCTATGGTGAAAGACTCTTTCTATTTGAGAAAAGCAGGGGGAAAAGTAAAGGGGACTCTACCCGGCACCTTAGGTGCCTTGTTGGCCTCGGTGGGGTAGGGCACCAACCAGGCTCTTGGGGTCCCTGGGTCAGGCTTAGGCTCTTGGTTAGTTAGCATTTCTGGACCTGCCCTGGACCAGAGAGGAGTCCACTGTCCCGAAGAGTGAGTCCCAGGCCTGGAAGCATGCATCATAAACTGACTGAAGGGCCTTTAAGTGAAACATCAGTGGTAGCCTGGCAAAAGCCCCCATGGGTTGGTGGTGGTGGTGGCCACAGGGAAAGGCTCCTTGGCCAATGGAAATGGGAGGGAAGAGTGGGAAGGGCTTTGTCTCATGGTTTAAGTACCAGCTTAGCTGCAGTAGAATAGAACAGCAGCTGAAATTCTAAGGTTTTTCACTTCAATCCATGGTTCCAAGACAACATCTCTGGACCCACCTGGGGCCTGGGGAAGCTCACTGCCCTGAAGGTAGGGACATAAACCTGGCTGGCTTTGCCACCTGTTGATTGTAGACTCTAAGGCTTTGAGTGAACTTAGATGGTAGCCAAGTAGTGGTTATAGCAGACCTTGGGTGAGACTCAGTGCTGTGCTGGCTTCAAGTCTGAACCAGCACAGTCCCAGTGGTAGCGGCCAGGGGGATGCTTGTGTTCCTGCCCCTAGTTCCATAAGGCTCAGCACAGAGAGAGAGAGAGACTCTGTTTGTTTGGGAGAAGGTAAGGGAAAAGAATGAGAGTCTCAGCCTGGTAATTCAGAGAATTCTTTCAGACTTTATCCAGCACCACCAAGGCAGTACCTTTCTCTAGAAGTCTTCAAGAATTGCAGCATTGTAGGGTCTCAGGCCCAAGTCCCTTAGAAGACCCGAAACACCTTCCCAAGAAGAATTGACACAAATGGGTCCAGATTTCAAATTAATTTAACCAAAGTAGTGAAAGATCTTTATAATGAAAACTAAAAACTGATGAAAAAAAATTGAAGAGGACACCAAAAACATGGAAAGATATTTGATGTTCATGGATTGGAAGAATCAATATTGTTAACATTTCCATAGTACTCAAAGCAATCTGCAGATTCCATGCAATCCTTATCCAAATCCCAAAGACATTCTTCATAGAAATAGAAAAAACAATTCTGAAATTTATATGGAACCACAAAAGACCCAGTATAGCCAAAGCTATCCTATGCAAAAAGAATGAAACTGAGGGAATCACATTTCCTGACTTCAAATAATACTACAGAGCTATAGTCACCAAAACAGCATGATACTGGCATACAAACAGACACACAGACTGATGGAACAGAATAGAGAATCCAGAAACAAATTCACACACCTATAGAGACCTCATTTTCTATAAAGATGCCAAGAACACACAGTGGGGAAAGGACAGTCTGTTTAATAAATTGTGCTTAAAAAACTGGATATCCACATGCAGAAGAACAAAACTAGACCCCTATCTCTCACTATATTCAAAAATCAAATCAAAATGGATTAAAGACTTAAATATAAGACTTCAAACTATGAAAGTGCTAAAAGAAAACATTGGGGAAACTCTTCAGGACATTGGTCTGAGCAAAAATTTCTTGAGTCATACCACACAAGCACAGGCAACCAAAGCAAAAATGAATAGCTGGGATCACGTCAAGTTAAAAAGCTCCTGCACAGCAAAGGAAACAATCAACAAAGTGAAGAGACAACACACATAATGGAAGAAAATATTTTCAAACTACCCACCTGATGAGAGATTCATAATCAAAATTTACAAGGAGCTCAAACGACTTTATTTTAAAAAGTCGAACAATCTAACTTAAAAATGGGCAAAAGATTTGAACAGACATTTCGCAAAATAAGGCATACAAATGGCAAACAGGCATATGAAAAGGGGCTCAATATTACTGACCATCAGAGAAATGGAAATCAAAACTACAATGAGATATCACCTCACCTCAGTTAAAATGGTTTATATCCAAAAGACAGGCAATAATAACAAATGCTGGTGAGGATACGGAGAAAAGGGAACCCTCGTACACTGTTGATGGGAATGTAAATTAGTACAACCCCTATAAAGAACAGTTTGGAGGTTCCTCAAATAAACTAGAATTGAGCTACCATAGAATCCAGCAATTCCACTGCTGGGTATATGCCCAAAAGAAAGGAAATCTGTGCATCAAAGAGACATCTGCATTCCCATGTTTTTTGCAGCACTGATCACACTGGTCAATATTTGGAAGCAACCTAAATGTCCATCAACAGATGATTGGCTAAAGAAAATATGGTGCGTATATACAATGGAGTACTATGCAGCCATAAAAAGGATGAGATACTGTCATTTTGCCACAAAATGAATGGAACTGCAGGTTATTATGTTAAGTGAAATAAGTCAGACATAGAAAGACAAACTTCAAATGTTCTCACTTATTTTAGGGGCTAAAAATCAAAATAGTTGAACCCAAGGAGACAGAGAATAGATGGATGGTTATCAGAGGCTAAGGCTGTGAAGGATAGTAGGGGGTGGGGAGAGGAGTGGGGTTGTTAATGGGTACAAAAAATATATATAGTTAGAAAGAATTAATAAGATATCATTTGATTGCACAACAGGTTGACTATAGTAAATAGAAGTTTAATTGTACATTTAAAAACAATAGAGTATAACTGGATTATAAAAATATAATAGATTTTTGGGAGGCTGAGATGGGCGGATCATGAGGTCAGGAGATTGAGACCATCCTGGCTAACACAGTGAAACCCTGTCTCTACTAAAAATACAAAAAAATAGCCAGGCTGGCGGGCGCCTGTGGTCCCAGCTACACAGGAGACTGAGGCAGGAGAATGGCGTGAACCCAGGAGGCAGAGCTTGCAGTGAGCCAAGATTGTGCCACTGCACTCCAGCCTGGACAACAGAGCAAGACTCCATCTCAAAAATAATAATAATAATAATAGAGTATAATTGGATTGTAAAAAATAATAGAGTATAATTGGATTGTAAACTAGATTATAATTGGATTATTGTCACATTAAAGTATAAATGCTTGAGGGGATGGAGAGCCCATTTGTCATGATGTGGTTATTGCTTATTACATGCCTGTAGGAAATTATATAACATACCTCATAAATATACACACCCACTATGTACCCACAAACAGTTTTTTTAAAAAACCTGGTTACCCAAACCAGAAATCCAGGAGTCAGCCTTGACTCCTCTCTCCCTCATACCAAACTCCAGTTTTGATTTATATTGATTTTAATGCATCCAACACCTTATTTCAAACCCTTATCACCTTTCACTTAGACCAGAGTCAGAGCCCCAAACTGGTCTCCCTGCCTTCATTTCTTTCTGCCTTCAGTACTCTGTAGTATATCCAGTTCTATTGCCTTTTGTAAATGCAAAATAATCAGAGTTCTCCTTTCTTGGAAAGATCCTCCAGTGGTAATCCACCACCCATAGCAGTGTTTTGTAATCATTTTTATAGCAGATTAACGTTATTTTCAAACAAATATCATATAAAAGCCTAATATCTATAAATAGATATGAGCTGTATTTTACTGTGATTAACTTACTTTGTAAGATCTAAGTGTGTAAGTTCTATAAACCAGTAAGAAAATAATAAGGAGGTTTGGCAAAATTTAAAAATTCAAAATCAATGGCAATGCAATTAGATCAGCATCGTCTTGATATTTATTTCTCTATTTTATTTGATTGCACATATTTTTAAAAATCCTGATTCATATCATTAGGTAGCTACCAGTGATAACAGTTTATTGCTTTTTCCAAAAAGTTGACCTTTCAAACTTAAAGTATCATTCATTTAGAAAAAGATAGCAAGATGCAAATATTAATGAGTTAAACTGTCAGCACGTATTACTTGGTTTCTGGTTTTTACCTGGTTAAAAATGTGGTATGTAATATGTAGTTTGAGTGTGTATTGAAGCTGGTTTTTTTTTTTTTTAAACGAAAGTCAAAGCAAACATTTGTGCAATCCTTAAGTCTCCTTAGAACCTTGTTACCATGGAATAGAGCTTGAAAACCAGTGATCTAAATGCTAAACCCCAAATCCTTTAGTATTTAGTATGAAAATGTAAGATCCTGTTTCATTTGAACTTTATCAGTCTAGCTGCATTTCCCACCACTGCCAAATTTTCGCCCAGTTTTCTAAATCTACGTTCATCTTTCAAGGGGTTATAGTTTTGTACTAGTTATTTTCTCTGCCAAATGTGACTCCGGAACTACTGTCTTCTAACCCGAATTTCTATTAACTTAATTTCAAAGTTAAAACATTAACTCTCCATGATGTTTTCTTTGAATGTGGCCATAGGACTTTGTATACACTTCTATCTTAAACATGTGCTGCCTTGTGTGATAATCATCACTTCCTCTCAACTGTGAGCTCCTAAGAAAGGACTAATTTAACCATCCTGGAGTTCTCAGGAACTTTCAAAGTGCCTGCAACCTAATAATCATTCCTTAAATGTTTTACATTCATAAACTCATTCATTAATATTAATAATAATAACCAGTAGAGTGGTTACAGTAGCTGAAACTGCAGATTTGCATAACGTTGTGAACAGATAATCCTCTCATTGACTGACACTTTAGGTTAAATAAGTACTAAGTAGAAATCACTCTTCTAAATCATGCTAATTTTCACTTTAACTTCATTTTTCTTTAATAATGGCCTCACCCACCAACATAGGAAAGCAGGATCACCAGCAAGAGAACGAGAGCACAGATACATGGAATCAGGACCAGCAATATGAACCGGAGGGGGTTAGCAGTCGCCAGCTTCTGAGAGCAGCCATTGCCCATGTTATTGTCATCAGCTCTCAAGACCTAAAGTAAAAGAGGAAAACGCAACATGGTTTTAGTTTTACAATACAAGGTATGAAATTTTAGGTTACAGCTATCCATTTAAAACAGCAGCATTCCAAAAAGATTTTACTGTTTGTGCTTTAGGGTATGAAATGAGCTTAGTGACCAAATCATGTCAATAAATGAACAGATAACTGTACATCTACATTCAGGGAAGAGCAAACTATCTATTTCTGAAACATTTTTCAGAAGTATATGGGCTTTTAACAATATCCCATTTTGCTTTTTTAAAACATATTTGTCAATTTGGTATAATTCCAAAGGGCTATGAATTACCATGGCAAAACCTTACCCTGGACCAAAGCTACAACAGAATTGAAGACTGCCTAATACAGTGTTACAAAATTGGTAAGTAGACAGAATACTATCCAGACTTCATTCTTTTTTGTCTCATTAGTCTAAACCAAATGTGAATGAATCTGGATAAAATAAGTATTTGGTCATTAATAATTCAGCCAGGCTTGCTGTTACTGATCATGCATTTAGTGACAAGTTGAAATATAAGGAGGAGCCTGCCCTGATTGCCAATTAAACGCTAACAACTCTGAGGACATCCTCGGCTGTCCATGCTGCCCCTGCAGCCCATCCCTTGTGAGAGGATGTCAAAGTGCAAAAATGATGGTTCAGATAAAGTTCTTGTCTTCAAACGCTTCAAATTTTGCTTAGTTCAATCTCTTGCCAGAAATGATATCTGGAAATTCATTTATTACAAATGGCTAGCTTCAAGCAGTGACTTCAAAAAAACATCTGAGATGGTACTAAAAGGGCTTTGAATCACTACAAGAAACTCTCTGGGTCTCCTTAATGAAGACATTTCTCACGACTCTCTCTTGGACTTCTAACTCTGCATTTTCTCCTCTGACAGTTTCAGAACTTGAACTCTAACCTCTGTGTAACTATCTCCTGAATCTCTCTTGCATCCTAAACTCCTTTCAGAGTTACACTACATACTTCTAATGCCTGGTGGGTAGTAGCCCCTCTTCTTAACAAGTCCAAAACTAAGACGAACCTTCTCTCTCTCTCTATCTGCAAACTAGTTCTTCTACTGACTTTCATATTTGTATTTACAGAAATTCCTCCATTCCAGTATGGAGAGTGGAGTCCAAAGACTCCCCATTTCATCATCCCCCTATGCCATACATCACCAGGTTTTGTTGGTTCTTCCTCTGTAATAAATACCAAACTTTTTTTTTTTTAATGAATGACCTTTGAGAAAGAGCCTTATAATAATCAAGAAGTTGTTCTAACAGAATGGTCCTGTAATATTCTCAGGACTTCCTGACCAGTATTTGATTATTTCCCATGGATGCAAAGACAATTTTGATGGGTTCTTCTGAATTGCAAGGCTTATGTGATTCCCATTTCTGCTTTATTCCCTCTATCTGGGAATATAGGTTCACTAACCCATATTGCAAGCAATGTTCACTACATAATATGATGACAGCTTCTGTAATTTTAAGAATTCTCCATGAGAGACATTATTTGAAATAACTTATGTTGTTAACTTGAGAAGAGCTTCATTTCCTAGGTTAATGTCTTACTGATCCATTTCCTCTGTACCTGGATTAAGCTACCAGCCAATGTGTTATCATTTACAGTTAATTTACAATTGATCTTCAAGAAGACATAGCACTGGTGCAATATAATATGAGATCTGCAATAGCACATTGATTACAATACCAGCATTGGATAGGCAGTGCCCTTTCAGGCTTATATACAACACTTGTCTACAAAAAAAAAATCAATCAATAAACAGAAGTGTGGGACTATAGGCCAACAAAGTTAGTGGCAGAAACAAGTTGATACTTGTTTATTTTACTTAGTTACTGAACACCTACTAATTATAATAATAATGATGGATATGACAATGACTTCAAACCACTGTCTCTCAAAAGCTCACAGTCTTGTAGGAGAGATGATATGTACATGAATAATATAACTATATTGCAAGATAGCAAATGATAGGCACCATGACTCTTACAGCTAAAGTGACATAAGAATTCAGAAGATAGAAATATAATTTGCTGGAAGATCACATAAGATATTGTAGAGAGAACAACCCTGAATCAGCCATAATTCTGAGAAAAGTACCCCTGAAAAAGTCTGTTACGAGTTTAAAAAAATGTTGCAAAGTGTATACAGAGAAGTAAGACATTATGAAATATATTTAACTTCTACAACAATGAAGAAGCTTCCTCGCTAAGGTGATCACAGAAGCATTATAGGGATAACCTTGGGTGACGAATTCACAATGGCTCATTGCCATCTGGACTGCTGGAGCCAGATACATCTCATTTAGCATTTATAAGTAAAGAGTCAGCGGAGAAAATGCTAGAGGCCCATTTTAATATCTCATCTAAGTATATATCAAGTACTGGACCTCCAAAAACGATACTCATGATTAGACCAAATATTTTCTTCAGTGACAAGATAATTGATTTTTTTGTTTGATTTTTGAGATGGAGTCTCATTCTGTCACCCAGGCTGAAGTGCAGTAGCACAATCTTGGCTCACTGCAACCTCCGCCTCCCAGGTTCATGCAATTCTCCTGCCTCAGCCTCCTGAGTAGCTGGGATTACAGGCGCACACCACCACACCTGGCTAATTTTTTGTGTATTTTTAGTAGAGACAGGGTTTCACTATGTTAACCAGACTGATCTCGATCTCCTAACCTCGTGATCTGCCCGCCTCAGCCTCCCAAAGTCCTGGGATTACAGGCGTGAGCCACCGTGCCCAGCCAGAGAATTGATTGCTTTTTTCAAAGGGAGAGGAGGAAGAAATATGCAGGAGAAATTCAATACTTCAGCACTTTCTTCTTGAATAACTTGCATAACTTTCCTCTTGCACTCATGGCCACTTAGGACTGTTGCAAATGCTACATTATGCACAGGCCCTTCGAGGTTCCTCTGAACACAAGGCAACTCTCAGACTTCACTGTTGAGTAAATGCCAGGTGAAATAAACAACCAGAATCATCCTTAAGCTTTGTTTCCATGGACTCTAAACAATCCTTTCTCCAAATGGCATCCCTCTTCCACAAGCACCTTCCTCAGCCTTGAAATCAAGCTGAGCACAGGCACAGCATTCCATGGCAAGGGTAGGGAACAACGCATCTGATTGGACCTGCACATATTTGTAAAGCATGTCATTCTTATGTGTTTTTTGTTGTTGTTGTTTTTATTTTTGGTTTTGGTTTTGGGGTTTTTTTTTTTTTTTTTTTTTTTGGTGTTTTGTTTTGTTTTGAGACAGGGTCTCACTCTGTCACTCAGGCTGGAGTGCAGTGGCACAATCTTGGCTCACTGCAACCTCTGCCTCCTGGGCTCAAGAGATTCTCCTGCCTCAGTCTCCTGAGTGACTGGGACAACGAGTGCGCACCATCCATCGCACCCAGCTAATTTTTTTGTAGATTCAGGATTTTACCATGTTCCTCTGACTGATCTCAAACTTCTGGGCTCAAGTGATCCACCCACCTCAGCCTTCCAAATGTTCTTATGTTTTACTAATCTTGTTAATGAAATCTCGTTTCTTGTATCTTAAGAACTACATTTATTTTAAAAGCATAACGTACACTGGCACAATGTACCATTTTACCACAATTGTATGCCATCTTGGTATCATTTGAGGGGTCAAAATTTCAGATAGCCGTCAAGCACTTTCTTCCTTTGGCTTCTCTTTCTCCTGCCTCTCTGGTCATTCCTTCTATTTTTGAAGGCTCAATTCTCACATTCACTCTCTCCCCAGGCAATGTCATCCACACGTTTATCTTCAATTAGTAGCAATCCATAGGTGACTTGCATCTTTAAATAACAACCATAGATCTTTCCTCTGATCTCCAGACCATTATATGCAACTGACCACTTGACATCTCCTCATTGGAGGTTGTAAAAGTAACTCAAACTCAACAAGTCTGGAACCAAATAAACAATTTTCATCCCCATATCTGGTATTATTCCAGGGCTGGCAATCTGAAAAAAGGTAATTGCACAACTATCATGTGTCAGGTATTGTTTGGGCACTTGGGATATATTAATATGCAAAACGAAACTCTGTAGTCTAATAGATGCTACATTATAGTAAAAATAAACATGTCTCACCTGACATACTGCAAACACCTCTTCCTATCTGGTTTACCTATATTTATCCATGCACTCCCTAACGTGTTCTCCACACTATAGCCAGAGTAAGAGAGAGGCTGTATTATCTTTGCATGATGAGAAAAGACAACGTGAAAAATGACCCCAAAGCTGAACTAATTCAAGATTGCAGAGCCTGGAACCAGAGCTGATCATGAGAGCCATGCACCCAGAGGTTCTGGGGAGGGCTTTGGATTTACATAGGGTATACAAGGTTTTGAGTCCATTTTATCAAGTTTGCAAAGGTCAACAAGATCATAGTTGACATTTCAAGTACATAAGTCTTTACCCCTTTTTTTTACCTTCAGGCAGCATTTGATTTTGTCAACACATGGTGCGTTCTTGAGGGCACATCCACAGCTGCAAACAGCAGAGAATATTTGAGAGCTTGTGTGGAGGTTCTAGTTGGGGAGTGCACCTACTTGAATACCCCTGACCAAAGATGGGTCCTCATCTATCAGGGATGGTCGTCCTCTTTGACAGAGCACACAGCTTCAGGGAAGATGCACATGGAGCAGTGAGGGGGGAAGGGGACACCTGCCTAGCCAGGCAGATCAGCCAATTCAACCCTGGGGATCAATGGGGTGACAAATGTCACAGCCAGATTTCCCTTTCATCCAGCAGACATTATTTGAATCTTCTGTCTGAGGGGTTGACAGGAGCTACATTCCTGTCAACCCCTCAGACAGAAGAATTATTCCTGAGGCCAGAGCCGGCACTTACCAAAGAGCCAATGAACCAGATATACCTGACTAGGGGTTTTAGGTGGGGTTGTCCAGATAATTCTTGAAGGTGGGAATAGCTGCCAACAACCAGGTTACTCTAAAGC